CATTCCAGGAGGATGCGGTGTCTTCTTTCTAATAATCTCTCAAGATCCCGTAGTATGTAGGTGATCTTATGCATAAAAGTGAGGGGACTCAAGGTTAACCCTTTAGGGGGCTGCTTTCGCACTCTGATTTGCTTTCTCAAAGAAGAGAGTAAGAGATACAGATGCAACTGGCATGTTGGTTTAACCCTGGGGATGCTGTGTGAATGTGCCATGCACACTGATGCCAGTATACACATCAAAATCAAGAAAACGCAAAAAATTGCCCTCGGAGGCAATGTGGGGGTGGAGGGAGTATGGGGGCAGACAGTTAGTCTGTGGGTGTGCAGGGTGTAGCAGAAGACAAGCTGTTTTCTCAGAAGCCCTTCTAGAATGCTTCAATTGTATTATATTGTCACATATGTGTATGTATTATAAACTTAAAAAGAAAAAATGTACTAAATCTGACCCTCAGGTTGTCATACTAAATATATACACCTGTGGTTAATACAGTTGATATATGGCAGAAACCAAATAAATTTTTTAAAATATCCTATGACAAGCCATAATGAGAAAAATATAAAAAATAAAAAGGCGAGCACAGAGTTAATATGCTGACATATTGTTGCAGGCAGGAAATCTAATTGGCAGATACAAGAATTTCAAAAAGAAAAAGAATAGCAGCCAGGGACCATTTAATATGTGCATAAAGAGGTTCACATGCCTCTTGGAAATCATTATAACACAGTGAGTGTTAGGTTTTATGGGGCCAGTAGCGATCCTGAGACCTCCAGTAAAGCTCCGAGTACCCCCATCACACTGTGTTTAAGGAGGCAGGGAGCCAGGTAATATATTTTAGCAAGATTCCTATCAAAAGGAGCCAAAATCACCAGCGAGAGAAGGCTTCACTCTTAGGTGCCTTTCCTTCATAGCCCTTAAATTATAATAAACTTTTTAGATTTTTTAAAAATTAGATCTACCCAACTGTATGCCCTATGAAGACAGGGACCATGTCTTCTCTGTTCTAGTTGCCCCAGAAGGGAAATAACTCACACTCACATAGGGTTCTCTTTCCTCAAGCCTCATGAGACTTTTTTTAATATTTATTTATTTGGCTGTATCAGGGCTTAGTTGCAGCACACAGGATCTACATTACATCTTACAGGATCTTTGGTTGCTGCTCAGGAGCTCCAAAGGATGCAGGCTCAGTTGCCCCACAGCATGTGGGATCTTAACTCCCCATCTAGGAATCAAACCTTCATCCCCTGCATTGGAAGGTGGATTCTTAAACACTGAACCACCAGGGAAGACCCAAGCTCCTTGAGATGTTTAGTTTGCTGTAGTCAAGAAAGACTGCAGGCCTGGCCCCAGGAGCAGATGCTGAGCTTCCATGAATTGGGAGGTGGGGAAGGAGATGTATTCTTGCTCTGAGGAGAACAGCATATCTCTTGGACGCCCAAGATGCTCTTCATAGAGTCCCACATAAAACTGAAAGACGTAAGAGACCATAGCAAAAATCAACAAAGCTAAAAGCCAGTTTTTTGAAAAAATAAATAAAATTGACAAACCATTAGCAAGACTCATTAAGAAACAAAGAGAGAAGAACCAAATTAACAAAATTAGAAATGAAAATGGAGAGATCACAACAGACAACACTGAAATACAAAGAATCATAAGAGACTACTACCAGCAGCTCTATGCCAATAAAATGGACAACTTGGAAGAAATGGACAAGTTCTTAGAGAAGTATAACTTTCCAAAACTGAACCAGGAAGAAATAGAAGATCTTAACAAACCCATCACAAGCAAGGAAATCGAAACTGTAATCAGAAATCTTCCAGCAAACAAAAGCCCAGGACCAGATGGCTTCACAGCTGAATTCTACCAAAAATT